TGAACCGTCTATGGTTTATCCTAATAAATGTCCTACCTGTTGCAGCCATAATTGTACACAAAGCTAAATGGTCCATAGGACCTCTAGATCTCCTTCAACCACTCGGTATGGCGTCATTAAATTGTGTCGAAAGAGATATTAAACAGTCCTTGGACTTATATTAACTCAATGGGGTAAACTTATTGCATAGTAGAAGAATCAGAACGTAAAGATGCAAATGAAGATTAAAAACCACATATCCGTAAATTATTCAATCACGTTGTCATTAATATTGAAGACAACATTGATACCTTGTTGTCGATTTGAAATTGATTGTATTCTATGAACAGTTACATCACAAAAAATACTCAACTGTTGTTCATTTCCATTCCCACTTCATACGTTATGAATTTCATGAACCTACAAAACATTTCACTAACTAAGTGAATATGCATAATGTTTTAAGTTATAATCAGGGGATTGGTTGAATTTAGACATTAACACCGTTGAATAACAAGCGGCTCAATGGTCTAGAGGTTAAACGCTCACGAGCGAGACCGATAGATCTTGGGTTCTAATCTCATGAGGTGGGATCGTAGATGCGCACTTCTGAAGAGTCCCATAATAGGACGTAATAGCCATCCAATGTTTCCAGGTTTTTCATGATGATCTAGCTTCAATTAACTTGTGAATTCAACTATCATAAAAGTTTCGAGTTATCTTTACTAAATAGTGACTAGCTTCGTGAGAAAATCCTCGGAGTTCTGGTGAGAAGCCGTGATCAGTGGAGCTAATCCGTGTCGGGTAGAAACAGGTGTCTACGTCGGTACAATCGAAGATGGTCGCGCAATTTTGTGGATTGATTGAGGTTAGACATTAACAACATTGGATGTCGGCTCAGTGGTCTAGTTGGTTAAGCGCCTGGCGCGACACTGATAGGTCCTGGGTTGGAATCTCGTGGGGTGCGGGATCGTAGATGCGCGCTTCTGAAGAGTCCCATGCTAGGAGGAAACGGCTGTCCAGTGCTTCCAGGTTTTCCATGATGGTCTAGCTTCAATCGACTCATGATTTCAATCAAAAATAGTTTGTAGTTAAGCTTTTATTGTCATTCTTGACAATATCCTCTCCAATGAATACTTCCTAATCAAATCATTTCACTTAGAGTTTAACAATATCAAAAACATCTATCTTAATCTCAATATATCCCATTAATTAAAGTAAGTATTCACAATTCCATATATAGTAGCTTCTCATGTTAAAATTGTTTATTACATTATACTAACGACTTTTATTAACCTTCTTATGATTCATTATTATGTTTTTTGTTTTTTACATTTTTAGAGTTCACTAATAGACAATCCCTTCCATTCTTTGACACCTTACTCTTCAATAATAATAATAATAATAATAATAATAATAATAATAATAATTGGCCTCATTTATCTACCTACCTAACTACTTCATTCAATATGATCGATATATTTTCACTTCTAATAATCAAGTCATTTGTTTCTGTCCTCCCCCTCCCTCTCTCCCTCAACCCCCTCCCCCTCTTTCTCTCTCTCTCTCTCTCTGGAAACGTTTAATAACCATAATCATTGTATTCTATATACACATTAATTATACAATCGTAATTATGAATACAAACAAACAAAACAAGAGAAAAACAAAACAGCCGGACAAATCAACACCCCCTTTTATTAATAAAGTCATTCAATGCATATTACATTGGACAAAAGAGAAATGCATCATATTTCTTCTATCTATCTTTTCTCTCGTTTTCTTATGTTGTTGTGATTATTATCGTTATTATTTTCCATTCAATTTTTTCTCAGTTTTACAACGAATAGTAGAACACACACAAAAAAATTTTTTCTATAAAAAAAACCAACAACAACAATGAAAATAAAATTTTAATAAAGAAAAACTAATGATAAAAATAGTAAGTGTAGTCATTTAAATGAATTTAAAGGAGAAAAAAAGAAAAAAACGAGAGAATAACAAAAAAGAAAAACAAAAAAGAAAAAAGAATTCAAACTACCAATCAAAATAATGAATCGATGTTCAATCTATATTTTTGTTTGTGATAAAAAAAGAAAAAAGAAAAAAGAAGAAGAAAAGAAAAATATTCAAATAAAAAAATGACTGATATCGAGAAAAGAAACTGAATGAATGAATGAAAAAGAAAAGAAAAACCGACAAAATAAATATCTTAATAACACATTTTTTTGTTCATTTTTTTTCTTCCTTTCTAAAAAAAAATCGAATCTTTTGTTTTCATTGTACAACTGCTCAAAATGTTTCTTTTTCTTTATTGTTTTTTGTTTGTTTTTGTTTTATTCAAATAGAACATTTAACATTTTTATAGGTTTTGTTATGTGATGTAAACCATAGAAGATGAGTAATGAATAGGTGTGGATAAATACGTTTACGTGAGTTAGATGAAACCGTTGTAGATGATGGAGAAGATTTGTTGGTCAGATGGATGATTTTGATGGAGTTTTGTTCTTTGAGCTGGATAGTTTGGAACTTTCATCGTTCTTTTGAACGACATCATCATCAGCGCAAACTTCAGATAGAAATGATTTTATATTTAGTTTTCAGGAGAAACAAAAACTATCCAGACTGTCACATGACAACTCAAACAGTACTGCTTAATCCTGTTTAACTAGAGAACCAGATAACGCATAGGCTTAAAATTGGCAGCTCAAATAGTACGGCTCAATCCAGTTTCTAGGAGAAGCAGACATAATTCAGGCTTAAACTTTATAATCTGATCAGTACAGCTCAATCTTGTGGCGTAAACACACAGGTATGAAGCATCTAGGTGGACCAATGTGTACATTAGATAACTTATTATGAGTAGATATGGTTTGTGAAAGTTTTCAATTGTAAAAGTAGAATACATCATTGAGTGACTTGTACGAACTGACTAATAAGAAATCATATACTGTTTGACAGAGGTTTCAGCTTGATAATGAATTTCATAGGAATTTGTACTTACAATGTCATTTAAAATCGTACTCAGGATCTGTGCGTTCTGTGGTCTTCCACTTCACCCTTGGCGTTGAGGACTCCATGTGAGGACTTGTCTTGTGACACAGTTCGGTGCTTTCCTTAATATGTGTCTTATCCACTCCCAACGTTTCCTTTTGATTTCTTCCCCCCACTGAAATCTGGTTTCTTCTCTCTCACAGTAAGTTGTTGCTGATAGTTGCTGATGGCCGAGGGATCCGAAGTAATGTGCGTGGACAACTGTTAATAAACACTTGTTTCTTCTGGATGATGGCTTTCTTAGTTCTCCAAGTTTCCGCCTCATACATTTGTATTGAAAACATATTCACATACATATATTAGAAAGTAAACTGATGATGAATCGTTTATGCTAGTATACAGTAAATGACAAACTTTGTACTCAGAATACTATTTAGTCTGAGTTCAAATGAGAATTGAACCCGAAAACCATTTCAGACAAGAGCACGTTATTGTGGGTACAACGTCTCGATAAATGTCGACAATCCCCTACATATTTAAAAGACTTTTTCACTACAGTTCAAGATGTTATCACAGTAGTTATGCGTGATCTTATCAAAAATATACCGTTCCTTATTGTTTTTAATGACGAACTAGATACATTCATTTTGTAGTGAAGGACCTCATGAATTTTTTGACCACGGAGCCAAAACAGACTAATGAAAGTACTCAAAGAGATGTATCTTATAATATTCAGAAAAATCTATTCTACAATTGATAGCAGTGCTACCATGAATTCTAATCTTTCCATCTTAGCTTCAATCCATTCCATATTTCTGGTATGTGAACATTTAAATGAATGTATCTAATATGATTCCCATATGCGTTATGTGACATCAACTGTTAAATTCATAAATCAATATACCTCATGAAAGCCTAGATTCAGCATTCATAATTTTTACATTTTACTTTGATTATGCACCTCATGTATAGTTGTCTTCAAAGAATTTTACTGTAGTGCTTTCTATTCCCCCTTTTCCTTTCTTGATCTTCTCCATCTTCTGCTGCTAGACATTACATTCCTGACTCGCGTTATATACTACTTATATCAATATGAGTAGCACGCACCACAATACTTTCAGTTTGAAACTCTATATTAAACGAACTATTGAACGATATGTATTTATTTAAAGAAAAATCATATATTCATTTGATATTATTTACTTGAATCTTCCCGTTGATGTTTAGGACTGTAATTGATCAATCTCTTAGTGGCATATATGGATACAATATGGATTGCCTCATCATTATTGCCTTAATTCACAAGCATTATAAACAAAAATGGACAATGGCTAGCAGAGGATTGCAAGAATCACATTTTATCTTTTTTTGAGATTCGTCAGCTAGATGTACCTGAATCTCAGAGTTGATGTTTAGTCCTGAATATCAATGAGAAGTTTCAAGGAAACAATACTAATTGAGTTTAAACTTCAACCTATTACACAAGCAATTGATTATCAATACTCAATAGCTAAGTAGATCATGTGTTAGTGTTTGAAATAAACAATACTGGGTTCGAATCTACGAATGAACATCAACTCTGATCTTAACTAAGATGAAATGCATCACTTGAATTCTACTATTATCCACTATCTGTCATCTCAAATAATCTTAGTAATATAAATGATTCAAAAATCGATAAAAAAAAGAAGGTAATTATTCAGTAGTAAAAACAAAACAACAAAAAAAAAGAGAGAACAATTTGCAATTAATATACATTAAGTAAATCATATAGAAACTAAATATTTGTCACATGAATAAAAAAAATTTTATTTTCCTTTATTCTATTTTTTTCTTTCTCTTTTTTTGTTTTTTTCTCTTTTTCTTTCTTTCACATTCATACATAATGAAACTTGATTATAAATCTATTTCATAAGAATTAAGTAGATTGATTGACAAGTAAACTAATCATATTATTAATGATTATGACAAGAATAATCTTCTAATTACTTGTATTATATATAATCTTACTGATTATGATAATACATTCACATTAACAGGTAATATCTACATGGTATTGTATTGTTATTATTATTATTATTATTATTATTATTACTACTACTACTACTACTACTAGTAGTAGTAGTAGTAGTAGTAGTAGTAGTAGTAGTAGTAGTAGTAGTAGTAGTAGTAGTAGTAGTAGTAGTAGTAGTAGTAGTAGTAGTAGTAGTAGTAGTAGTAGTAGCAGTAGTAGTAGTAGTAGTAGTAGTAGTAGTAGTAGTAGTAGTAGTAGTAGTAGTAGTAGTAGTAGTAGTAGTAGTAGTAGTAGTAGTAGTAGTAGTAGTAGTAGTAGTAGTAGTAGTAGTAGTAGTAGTAGTAGTAGTAGTAGTAGTAGTAGTAGTAGTAGTAGTAGTAGTAGTAGTAGTAGTAGTAGTAGTAGTAGTAGTAGTAGTAGTAGTAGTAGTAGTAGTAGTAGTAGTAGTAGTAGTAGTAGTAGTAGTAGTAGTAGTAGTAGTAGTAGTAGTAGTAGTAGTAGTAGTAGTAGTAGTAGTAGTAGTAGTAGTAGTAGTAGTAGTAGTAGTAGTAGTAGTAGTAGTAGTAATAGTATAGTGAACAAGAACACTAGCAGTGACAATCGAATGTACTTTTTGATAGAATTAGAGGAGCCTCACCCATGGCCTCCTCTGATAAATAACACATTGTTGGGATATTCAGAAAAATATCCTAAAAATTATTATGTTAAGTCTAATGATAACCTTGGTCTTGAAGTGGTATCATTTTCCTATTGGTCAATATTTAGTTCACGTGTCATTTTCTTGTTGGGCAAATACTGTACAGTGTTATTTTCTATTTTGTGGTACGTTGTGGTCTGTCTGGTTGATATATAAACCGAGTACGTTTGAAATAAATGATTCATATTAGAGAGGCTCGGATTGGTGTTCTGGACTTAACTGGCTGGGCTAGGCGGAAAGCAGGACAAATCAGAACTCTAGGCTGCTCACACGTGTTTTACGCGTCCTTCGTCTGATCGATAATTCACTGTTCTTTAACCGGCGGTCACAAGTTATAACACACATGAATATACTCATATTTAAAATCTGAGAAGTCATGTGAATCAAGTCGTTTTTATCAGGCTTTATCCAATATTTATATTCAGACACGTAATGAATAGGGTAAGTAATGAATTCACATACGATCATATAAAAAAGTAAGGGTTAATAAGAGAATAAGTGATTAACTATCGTCTTACACTTGATTGTTACTTCATTTCCACATCAGTCTATCTCTGTTCTTGTTCTCATTTCTTCTAAGATCTTCTAAATGTTCTGCTGTCAGACATTTCATTTTCCATTGGTGATACATACTGTAGTAAACAAGAACACGAGCAGGGACAAACGAATGTAATTGAGTACAACATTACAGAATATCTCACTAAAATCTCAGAACCATACAGTAAATAGTTAATTTGTAAAACATCAATCCATCATCTCGAACTTGACTGTTCCTGTTGCAAATATCAGTTCATTGTCTCAGAGTTCATTGTTCATGCATTTTCATATGAATTGCGTTCCGTTTTCGTTCTTTCCTTATCGATCTTCTACTGAAATACATTCTATGTCTGACCACCGTTATATACTAATTCTGTGGATATAAATAACCTACACCACAGTTTGAGTAGTATTAGTATTGTTACAATATTGGAATTCTCAGTATAAAGTATTTCAACAAGTTCCTGTTTCTTTTATTTCTTGGTCGATATTGACGATAATTATTGATTGTTCATCAACATATGTTCACTAGTGACTGGTTTCAAGAGGTATGTTCTAGAGTTTTAGTGAGAAGCAGTGATCAGTGCAGTTCAACCGGGTCTGTTGTGAGATAGTAACCCACTGAAGACAATGGTGGATGTATCGCTCAATTTTGTGGATTAGTTGAAGTTAGACGTCATTAACACCGTTGGATGCCTACCGGCTCAGTCGTCGAGAGGTTAAGTGCTCGCGAGCAAGACTGATAGGTCCTGGGTTCGAATCTCACGAGGCGGGATGGTAGATGCGCAGTGTTGAGGAGTCCCACAATAGGACGAAACAGTTGTCCATTACATCAAGGTTTTCCATGGTTGTCTAGCTTCAATTGTCTCATGATCTCAACCATTAAAATTACTATAATATCCACAAAACCCATTCTTATACTAAACAACATATGTGATACGTTCTAACTAATTTCTTGACTGGACTATAGTTTTTTTTTATTTCATTCCCTTTAATGAAGTAGGGTTTAGTGGCCAGGTATCTGACGCCAGTAAGATCGTTTTTGAATGCCATTGAGATATACATATCGTTAATACTCGTATATTATCACTGACCTAACACTCGTTAATGAATAACCGAATTAAATAAGCCAAATACGAGGATGTATTTTTGATTACATATATTTCCTACAATCATTGACCCAGACAAACAATCAGGGAATCAAGCGAAGAGAAGAGAGCGAAGCGAAATGACGTTTTAATCAATATTTATAGTCACAAAATTAAGCTACAGACATGTGATTAATGGAATAAGAAGGGCACACTCATATGCGCTCATATAAAACAGTCAAGATTGATAAGTGAATAATTAACAAGGTCAAAATGTAACTCAAGTAGAATGAATAGATTGGCCTGTAAGAAAGCTAGAATAAGGTATATATGGGCTTAAAAATAATAATCGACACTACAAGGGTTTATTTTATATGCTAAATGACACAGTATAATTGTAAGTAGAGAAGTGAATTGAAAATATAGACATGCTAACGATTGAATAATGTAGTATAGTGAGGATTAAAAATAGACTGATTTTGACTTGATTTGTTTGTACCTGTTACTCTTCATGTAGGAGCATGGGCCGCCCACCAGCACTCTTCATTCAACCCTGTCCTGGACAATCCTTTCCAGTTGTTTTCATTAGTTATTCATCCTTTTCATATCTGCTTCTATTTCCCAACGTAATGTGTTCTTTGGCCTTCAAATTATTCTCTTCCTTTTAGGATTCCAAGTTAGGGATTGCCTCGTGATGCAGTTTCGTGATTTGTGTAATATATGTGTTATCCAGTTCCATCGTCTCTTTCTAATTTCCTCTTCAGGTAGAAGCTGGTTTGTTCTCTTTCACAGAAGGCTGTTGCTGATCGTGTCCAACCGATGGATGTTGAGTATCTTGTGTAGACAGCTATTTATAAATACTTGTACCTTCTTGATGTTGGTTGTAGTAGTTCTCCACGTTTCAGTTTCGTACAGTAAAACTGTATTTGACGTTCGTATTGAAGATCCTTATTAATCCTTATTTAAGTAATTATCAAGTAGGAAGGTAGATATAGTTAGAAATAATTGGGAAACTATTATCGATGTTAAATTAATTTCATATGGCTAATGTTGATCGGTATCCATAAAATAAACCTGGAGATATACGTACATACGGACACAATAATGATTAAATTTTGATGTGATACAAATTACCATTGGCCTAAGGGAAATTACCAAATTTACTATGGATAATCAATAAAGAAGAGTAATGATATTGATTTCAAAAATAAAATAAAAAACGAAATGGAACCATATATGAATATCTTCATTGTTAACTAAGTGAAGTCACTGAACAAGAGTCTTTGAAACTATGTGTTTCACTAATTGGGACTGATCAATAACTTTTAAAGAATAGACACTCCTTTCAAAATTTCCAACCCGGATCAATGAGAATGGTTTAAATTGAATGTTTTAATATTTGACAATATAGTTATTTCATTTTAATAGTTGAAATCATGAGACAACTGAAGCTAGACTACCATGGTAAACCTGGAAACAATGGACGAATGTTTCGTCCTATCGTGGGAATATTTACTATTTTGTTAGATAAATGACAAATGATGACATTTGATGACATTCATCATACCTATCATACCTGTTGTAGATGCACACTGCTGAGGAGTCCCACAACAGGACGAAACGACTGTCCAGTGCATTAATTTTCTCAAGATCACAAGTACACTTTGTTTTAGTTTAGTATTTCTTGATCGACATTAACGATGAATATTGAGTGATTACCAGTTAGATATTAGCATTTCGAAAGTCTACATCTGAATAATGTTCATTCTTTTCTTTTGATAACTCATGGACTTGTGCTCTATTAATATATTACGTAATGATACCGCCAATTAGAGAACAGTAATTTGTCGACCGCACTAATGGCGTACAAAACATGTACGAGCAGCCTAGAGTCCTTATTGGTCCTTCTTCCTGACAAGCCTTACCCGATGAATCCGGAACACCAATGTCAGTCTCCTCAATATGATTCATGTACTTCTAACTGTTATATCTTGAAGGTTTGTTTTCTTGATATACAGCGTATAACTGAGCACTAGAGCATCAAAACCCTCCTAAGTCGCAATAAGAGGACAGAAGACTAATGAAAGGAATATTATTCCAAACGGTGTCAATTATAGTACAAAATTGTCAGGTATTTACAGTTTTTAGTAAGAACGTAATCATCATTACAGTCCACCAATCCGAAAAACAGGGGGTTATTATCGTTGTCCAATCAGGAAGCTACACGTAGGAATTCTGGAATATTCTACCAAAAGGTGATTGGATGGAATATCTTCGGTTCCTTCTGAGCCTCCTAAAGCTTCCTCGAGTTCAACCGTGGTCCGTCGTCACATAAACATATTGGGTTTATATACAAACCAAACAGACTACATCATAACATAAAATAGAAAATAACATTTGTACGAGATTTAACCAAATATGGCTGTCATTGTGAGAGACTGTAATTTATAGACTGGGCATCACTCAATAATGGTAAATCGTATAGTACTAGTCTATGAGTCAAAATAATAAGAGGAACACGAATATGAATAGTTTAGTTACTTAACAATTATGCAATAAAAATATATGTATAGTATTAGTTTAGAAATAGATTCCAACAGTTACTATTTCGTTATTCTCATCGGGATATAAAACTTTCAGTGTATATTGTCAGCCATCACTATGTCTGCAATTGTACAGCGTAAGGTGGCAAACTTATCTCAAACTCACTTGAATAGGTTATACAATTAATTGACACAATCATCTATATGATAGGAACAAGAATCCCGGTTATTCAAGGAGATCGCCTTATGTAAATGTGGACGCGTCAAAACTAGCACTAAAACTAATGTCATCAGGGTTTTCTAATGACACTCAGTAACATCATGAATTAATCTACATCTTCAAAAACAATGATGAATAAAACAAAATAAAGAATCAAACAACCAACAGTTGCACCATTTGCTAATTCCAACGTATCATTCCATTCGGTTATCAACTGTTTGTTTTTTTTAACATGAATATCCCGGTAATAATCACCACGTGAACAAGAATAAACGTTTTATAATATGTTGAACATTACAAAAATATGACCAGTGAAATGTATAAAATTTAGTTTCATTATACAGTTTTAATTTGGTTGACATTTTCTCAGCAACAACAAAAGAAACTGTACATCAATTGCATATTTTCTATTACAGGGAAATATTAGTTTCTATGACATCTACTATTTTGTTAAATAAATGACAAATAACTGTCAATGGATGACATTCATCATACCTAACAGATTAATGTTGCTATGTATAAATGATTTGTGTAAAATCTATGAATATTCAACTATGGATTATAATTTATTTAATCTGATTTACGGCTGTTTCGTCCTAATTTGGAACTCCTTAGCACTGTGCATCCCCGATCCCATCTCGTGAGATTCGAACCTATCGGACCTGTTAGTCTCGTGCGCGAACGCTTAACTTCTAGATCATTGAGCCTGTCGGCATCCAACGGTGTTATTTTATAACTTTAACCAATCCAATAAAATAATTTTTAATCTATCAATTACGTATCTATTGTTTCGGAAATAAATAACAATCAATTTGATTTGTGTGAATATGCAAATCAGCTTTGTTTAATCCGTTTGGCGATTTTTAATAAGATTTTTTCTACAGGATGGGATTGCTGACCTCATACCTAACCCTCCTCCTTTGTGAGGGCTTGGGACCGGTAGTAACTCTAGAAGAGCTACACACAGAGTTATGAATTGTAATACTATCATATAAAACTCGTAATTTAGTGAACGCCAAAACACAAATGGGGAGAATCGAATGTATTTCAAAACAAAATTACAGAATCTCTTAGTAAAATCTGATAACCGTAAAGTAAATACTTCATTTGCAAAATGTCAATCAATCGTCTTAGAATTCATTGTTCCTGTATTTTTATACCAATTGCTTTCTGTTAATGTTCTTTCCTTCTCGACATTCTGCTGCCATATATTCTAATCCTGATTATCGTTATATGCTACTTATGTCCATATAAGTAGCACACAACAAAAGGTGTTATCATGAAAATGGAATTATATTTTAGTTAGGATCGATAGAACTTATTGAATGTAAGTATCCAGTCTGTTGATAGTTCTTTGGAATTTACAAATCTTTGGTAAAAGTTGATCCACAAAGAACATACCTTCTTTGTGAGTTTATTCTTTACAAGTAAAGTTATGAATTCAGATTGTCATATGCTTGTAAATTCAGTATCGCAGAGTATTGTAGAGGATGTTTCAATGATTAGCACCATTACGTAATGAGATTATGTTGTACCATGTCAAAATATGTTAACTGACTAAATTAATAGGCAAAACATGAACTTAATCAAATTAGATCACAGCTACAAGCAGAGCAATCAATTGGAAGGTGATCAGAAGATAATAAAAGGTCTCACCTAAAGCCTCCTTTGATAAATGACACATGAGTACACTCATATATAAATTTGTGGTAACCGTTGATCTGATTCCAATTTACATGAACGTATAAATATACTGCGAATATAAATCTTCCATTTAACCCTGTATATTATCTGGGCTAACTTCGTTTGTATGATGGCGGTAATAGGAAGCCAAATATGGATAGTGTTGGAGAAAGTTATTTCAGGCATTCATAGATCCAGACAAAAATTCAGAATGAGAAGCGGTAAAGAAAAATGAAACAAAACAAAAAGAATCTGAGAAGTCATGTGAATCAAGTCGTTTTTATCAGGCTTTATCCAATATTTATATTCAGACACGTAATGAATAGGGTAAGTAATGAATTCACATACGATCATATAAAAAAGTAAGGGTTAATAAGAGAATAAGTGATTAACTATCGTCTTACACTTGATTGTTACTTCACTTCCACATCAGTCTATCTCTGTTCTTGTTCTCATTTCTTCTAAGATCTTCTAAATGTTCTGCTGTCAGACATTTCATTTTCCATTGGTGATACATACTGTAGTAAACAAGAACACGAGCAGGGACAAACGAATGTAATTGAGTACAACATTACAGAATATCTCACTAAAATCTCAGAACCATACAGTAAATAGTTAATTTGTAAAATATCAATCCATCATCTCGAACTTGACTGTTCCTGTTGCAAATATCAGTTCATTGTCTCAGAGTTCATTGTTCATGCATTTTCATATGAATTGCGTTCCGTTTTCGTTCTTTCCTTATCGATCTTCTACTGACCACCGTTATATACTAATTCTGTGGATATAAGTAACCCACATCACAATACTACTTATATCTGTTGAAAGCAGTAGCATAAACCACAATAGTATTGGAAAGACTATTGTGAAAATGATTATTTTATTGATTTGGATCATGAACCGATTGCTGTTAGACCACCATAGAAAACCTGGAAGCACTGGACGACCGTTTCATCCTATTGTGGAACTCCTCAGCAGTGAGTATCCACGGTCCCACTCACATGATTGGAACTCAGGGCCTTCAGTCTCGCGAACGAACGCTTAACCTACTGGACCACTGAGCCGGCATCCAATGGTGTTAATGTTCAACTTCAACCAACTTCCATTGTACTTATGTATATACCTGTCCGTACCCGATACGGATTAGATCCACTGGTCAAAGCTTCTCACCAGAACTTCGAGAATTCCCTCACGAAGCTAGTCCCTAGTGAGCATATGATAATTATCAGTATAAGGGTTATGGATCTTACTAAATTTTTGATTGATATCATCAATCGGTTCATGATCTCAAACAAAAACTTAATGATCACCACAATCCCTATACTGATGATCATTTCATTAACACTATTTATAAAAAAGTAAGTAATATGATTGAAATGAGAATGATTTATGATGTCCATTATACATATACGTTTTTTGTTTGTTTTAAATGTGCACATTCTTTTGAATTCAAATCGTAATATGTAAATTCCAATTGGCGCCAAACAGATTATTGTTTTAATAAAAAGGAATTTTAAACAAAATTATGTTATTTATGCACGTGTGTATAATGATTACTAAACAAAAAGAAAAGAGAAAACTATTAAACAGAATATAACATAAATGACATTTGAATTCATTACCTTAAGCCATAAGTATTATAAGCAAAGATGGATAGTGGCTAGCAGTGGAATTCAGGATGCACGCCGCTT